CTCGAAAACTCCCTCCCTTGGCCCAAAAGACTCCATTCAAAATTTCGAGAAACTGACTTCAGATTCAGATTCTCCGACCCCGATTTACTTCCGTCAACCTTTATGGAAAAGAACTTTAAATGGATATTGTTTTGACCTTGATGTTATTTTCACCCCAACGCAGACACACAAACATACACACAGCCCATTTTTTTTCATATGACACTCCCTACAGTCGAGGGAATATGCAACAAATTAATTAAAAACCAACTCGTTTAGATATATTTTTTATGTCTATTGATAAATATGTACCATTGGAAGAATCAAATCCAAAAACAATAGCTGAAGAAATATCTCATTATGGACTTTTGTGTAAAGATGGTCCACTGATAGATGCTGTTACATTCTGGCAACGTTATGGAGAACAAATGTCATTATTAAAATCTATGGCACAGCAATATTTATCAACTCCAGAAACAAGTGTAGCTTCCGAGTCAGCGTTCAGTATCTCAACATATGTTGCTCGCAAAGAATGGACTCGACTCAGCCCGAAAAACAGCTGCTACACAGTCTTCTTACAAGATAAATTAAGATCTCGTTAATTATTTATTTATGAAATTTTTTATCATTGATTGATTTACATGTCTTCATGCATATTATCTAATTATTTCATTTATTAATTGATTTATTTTACCATTTACATAAACGTATATTTATTTCTGTATATTGAATTGATTTATATTCGTTTGATTATTATATTACTTACTCATTGATTTATCTTTCTGTGTATTTAAACATGTATTCATTTGTGCATATTGAATGATTTGTATCATGTGATTATTGTATTATTTATTCAACGATGTATTTATCTATATTTGTTCAATTGCCCAGTATTCATTGAATTTTTTAGTTGTTTAATAATTAATACATTTGATTACTTTTGCACTGTTGTATATTCATCATTCCAAGTTCATTCTATCGAAGACATGCTTCAATATAACATGTTATACCTTTTCTCTTGATTCAATCTAGGACTATCTGACTTAGTCAACTAATAGCTATTGTCACGTATATTCTTTATGTATTTTGTGTGTACAATTAAAATAAAAATTTTTGTAGCATAACTAAATTAATTGATAGAAATGCCATGTTTATATCCAGGTTAATATTTTGAGTCGCTAAATCTAGTTGTAGTTTTTCCACATTAATGTTCTGAAACCGAAAAAACAATAATAATCTCAGAATGTCTTATCATAATAATTCCTATATTAAATTAACGTACGACAAATCGCTCGTCACTGCGTATCTTCAACAATTCATTTTTAACATCAGTACAGCTAATTTTTGCCGTTAAAAGAAATAATTCACATTGATTTATTTAAATTAGCCGCCTGACGTTCAGGTTTCGATCAGCTATTTTATATATTGAAAAGAACAAATCTAAAAAAATGCTTATGCGAAGGAAACCACTTGCTCCGCATCATATCAATATGAGAAGTGAATCAAACCATATTGTACATATATTGCACGTTTGCTTTATATCTAGCATTAATACGATCGATGATGACAAAAAAAAATTTCTATCAATCTCACTGACATTTTTAGAATAAGCAAATGGCGAGGCGTCTAATGAATATATGTTAACATCAAGGATCTACTATATGAACGAATGTAGTTAAATAAACTACTATTATTCTACAGCTTTCTTTAACGACTGTGTATTAATATAATTAATATAACCTAATAGTTGAAATAAAAGAACGTAGGAAATTTTATATCATGTCACAATGAATCAAATAAATTTATAGGTTTATCACATAACAGAGAGGCATTTGAGCAAAAATGACTCTTTCATCTATCTATTCTTCAAAAAGAAACCATAAACTATTTTCTACTACTTCAACTCAAATTTGTTGTATAGTCGGTCATAATTATAATTCATGCTAGTTGATAGTAGTCGACTTTGGCATCAATGATGACTAATTATAACCAATTTTAATTCAGTATTAGAGTAATTTTGAACAATTATAGCCGATTGTAGATAAATTTCATACTAATTCCTATCAATTCCTAGCAGTTGAATACGAACTATAGCCAATCAAATCAATTTACATATCAATTTTAACCAATTTCAACTTATTCATAGCAACTCCATAGGAAAGTTTAACCAACTCAACCCAATTTGATCCAATTTCATACCAATTTCTACAACTCCATGCGAATTGCAGCCAGTTGAAGTCAATTTTAGCCAGTTTCAAGCTAACTCCATATAAATTTCTAGGATTTCATGTGAATTTTAGGTAATTCGTACCAATTCTGGTCAATTACGGCTAATTCCAATCAATTTCGATTCCTATTTCTACCAATTCCTGTCAATTCCAACCAATTCTAAGAATTGGAATTGATTGGAATTGGAATTGGTGCAGCCCGATCTATGCAGAATTAACACTAATGCGATTAATGCTAATACCAAAGCATTAGCATTAATCATTAATGCTAATACCAAAGCATTAGCATTAATGATTAATGCTAATGCCAAAGCATTAGCATTAATCATTAATGCTAATGCGATACTCCTACTATTGATCTATCAAGAATAGAGATAGACTAGCGTAGCATTTTAATACACCAATAATAATTTTTATTACAGACAGGTACTTCAAAAAAACCATTGAAGCTAAAAAAGCTGCGCATAAAAGAAGATCAAGATACCGAAAATCCAATAAACGAATCAATCATTATGAATGAAACGTAATGGGTATCTCTCTCTCTCTCTATATATATACCCTTCTGAGTCTGTCTCTCTCTTTATACCTTCATGGGTATCTCATTTTCTCTATACCCTAGTTAATATATCACTCTACGTATACGTCCATGACTCTTATCACTTCACGTATTCCCATGGAGGTACAGTAATATATCTATAGTCTAATGAGTAGATCATCCTGTTTGTACTGTGTCGAATGTCTCATTTTGTCTACACATTAATAGGTAGATAATTTAACCTATACTCTATCGGTTGTAGAACTATATTCTCTACTTTAATGGATGCATCACCCTATCTAAGCCCTGATTTGTATAGCACTTCCCTTTACCGTGGTGAGTATGTCACCGTATCTATATCTGAATGAGTATTTCATTATACTTTTAGGGATTTCGTTATTTTCCCCTACTTTTATGTCTTTGGAGAGATCATCTCGCCATTTTTAATCGCTATCCATATATCGATATGCGCGTCTTTGCGTAGCTTTGCGTGCCTGTTTATAGCTGTAAACTGAGGTCTTTGCTACTGTATTCGTGTGTATTACGTGATGATCGTAGCGTGCAGGAACTCCCTAGCACGCTCAACTAAGCTCTTAGAATTCTAAAATCAATGGTTGTGTCGATAGAAGACGATTATAGATTAAGTAGGAATCTCTTTAATCGTTATAAGCTTCTGAGAGGAGAAGAGTAAACTAAGTCACGTCTAGGCCTGAAGCATTAAGGTGAGTTAAGCTCAGTCTCCTTTCTTTAACACTTTCGCCACAATTTGATCCTGCAGAGTTACTAGAAAGTTGTCTCGAGAAATCACAGTTCAAACGGAAAGAGATATTACGGGGAGTTTTATATGAAGCGAAAGCCTTTCGACAACGTGACTTCGGAGTATAATTGATACTTCATAGGATGTCAATGGGCTACAGAATGAAGAAAAGATTTCAAAGCTCTAGGAGTATGATTAGGTACCTTCCGGAATGCTTAGCCATAAAAAGTAAAGGTCCTCACAAAACTTATTTAGTCTATCAGATTTTTTGCAGCTACCTATACTGGTCATCTTGGTAAAGAAAATTTATTTAACAAATAAACGATCATGCTGGAGTAAACATCCTAAACAAACTTATAACGCCAACGACAGATCTACTTAACATTTGTGGTTGTTTTAATCCAAACAATGACATTTGTTAGGAGAGTGTAATTTTTTTCTTTCAAAATCATCACCAGAAATATCTCTAGAAACTCCGGCTGATGAAGAAATTTTTGAGAATGTCTTGTTTTTTTGACCAAATAATCACTGTACGACACGATACGAGTCACTAATAACTCGCATCACTACAAACTGCTTAATCGCAGTTGCTTGTATTTGCTCGAGTAATACATCTGGATTAGTTATTAAAACATCATGTTTTCCTTGTGACTTCGATTTAGTTTTCATGTTCTATTAGTGCTACATTGTACTTTATGGGCTTATGTATGTACGTAGAAATCATTCGACACTTAATTGTTGACTTTTTCGTTTGTTCGTATATGTGCATGTCGTTGCGCAGTATATTAGATGCACGCTGCTATTGAAAAAAACAACTGCACTTAAGAAGTTTCGCTTCTCGAGTGATTCGAGTGAAATTGATAGACGCGTGACTTCGGATGCAGTTTCGTATGCAATCTTGTATGATCATGCATGACTCATATTCTCTGAATCATGCATATTTCGTTGATGATAAAACTTATATTATCGTGTCCGATTATGTTCGTGAGAGAGTACCTGTTCTTATACATTTCATACGATCTAATTCTTGCAAGATTTTTTGCTGGAATCTTTCATTCAGAATCTGACAAAATCTTAGAAAAAGTCAGCTTATACGATATTGTCGGATCCTGTGATAAGATCATATAGAAAACCTTGTATGCGCAAGATCTGACGACAGATTTTTGACCTGGATTGGCATAATATTAACGCCTTTATTTCTTTGTCAGAAACACTTCACGATGGCAATTTCTCATTCTGTTCTTTTTTTTCCTAGATAGCTTTTTTTTTTGTCAGTGTACTTTGCTATCATTTGGATAGTTGCCAGAATAAAGAAAGCAAGATGCTCGTATAACATAAGAACAACATGGGGAATGCCCATCGTGGAATGTTCTGACGAAAAAATAACGCAGCTGATTTAGTGTCAAGGGTTTTCTCATATAATATCGTCAAATTTTTATGTATATAAACACCAGTTATAACATATATGATTTATTTTAAGAAGATTTCGTATCAACCAATAACTTTCAGTAAAATTAACTTTATTATCTGATTAATCACAATGGCTCCTATTATACAACGTCTCTTCTTGGTTGTACTTTTATTTACTCTGAGTAAGTGATTCTTTTCAGAGAAGAAAAAAAATACAATAAATAATTCATTAAAAGTAAACGAATAACCTTTTTCTCTCTTTTAATTTTATTCTAGTTATGGGATTAACTACGGCTGCACGATATTATCCTGTATGTGATACACCATGTCAAACTAATGGTGATGTTCGAACATGTTGTCAAAGTCATAGATTCGGCGATGGATATTGTCTTGGAGGATCGGCAGTTTGTAGTTAATAATGACATGAATGAATATGACGAAATCATCCTTAAAAGAACTTCATCTATCATATTTTCTCATCAATATTAATCCTGCTTCACTTGCTTACTCCTGTGCTTTTGAATCTTTAAAAACTTCAATAAAATAACAGAATGGTTCTAACCTACGAGTGAGAGGTTCTTTTTTGGTTAATCTGCTTGATATCAGCTCACACTATAGACTTTTCTAATTCTATAAATTTGAAAGTCAACAATAGTTATTTTTAATAATGAA